ATTAGACCACACAGCGAGGTCACTGACAGGTGGCTATCTCATTAACTCAGCTCTCAACTAACATAAGAAAAGAAAAAAGGATCATGGGGGACCAACAGGCACCGATTGGGGAAGTTTTCCATATAGAGGGAGCAAGTAGCTACAAGTAGGACAGTGGGGCTTTAAAAGTGCACATCTAGTCAGTCAGCATAACCCTTATATTATCAATCCTAGCATACAGCTAGTAGGGGGTCTGACCTATGGGGTTCGAATCCCTGTTGCATAATATCCTTTGGCAACTAGACGTTAATCTACATTAATTTGCCATACTTCGGAAAGAAGAGGTAAATGGGTATCAGGAGGAATGAATGGGGGAGGGGGGGGGGGGTACATTCCAGTTACTTGTAGAAGAATTGCCAAGCCATCGACGGTTTACGGCCGCCCTAAAGTAATGGTGTGATAAGGGATGCAATTGATAGTTTTTTTAATTTAAAGGGAGGCTTTACTACTTCAGCCAGAAGGGATTAGACCACACAGCGAGCCAGCAAGGTCACTGTGACAGGTGGCTATCTCATTAACTCAGCTCTCATTTAACATAAGAAAAAGAGGATCATGGGGGACCAACAGGCACCGATTTGGGAAGTTTTCTATATAGAGGGAGCAAGTAGCTACAAGTAGGACAGTGTGCCTTTAATTGTTTCCCTACCGTCCCTTTTGCCTAACTGTTTCACACTTGCATAATAACTCCTTGTTGCTAGTCATGAAGGAGTAGGGAGTGTTATATTGTATGGATTTCGATTAGCAAAGATCACGACCCGAATTCACAAAGGATGTTTGTAGACAAACCTAGGTTCATGTGCGTCATGTGACGCGTTTCAGACCAAGGTTTGTCTGAACCTTGGTCTGAAATGCTTCTAAACGCGTCATATGACGCACATAAACCTAGATTGTCCACAAACCTCCTTTGTGAATTCGGGCCCACATATTTAACGCAAAGCACAATTGTCCCTCATTTCCTCCCTCTCCCAAATAGATCTTGGTATCGTTCCTTGCGTCGGCCCGAGTCTATATCATCAACGCAGGCATTTTCGTCGCGCTCTTCGGCATGGGTTGCGTCATCTCGATCAAATACGTCTCAGACAAGAAAGCGCATCTTTCCAAGAGCATCATCATTGGACTCGCCTTCCTGTCCCTATTCCAACCCGTCATCGGCTACGGCCTCGCGCTCCTCCTCGACATGTCTGCCAACGAGGCTTTGGCTATGATCATATTGGCTTGCTCCCCGGTGTCGCCTTTGTGTGCCATCCTCGTCTACTACGGCGACGGCGTCATCATTGTGGGGTTCGTAAAAAAAAAAGAACATGCAGTCTTTCCTAATCTTTTCCTAGATCCAAATATTTATGATATTCGGAGATTTCTTAGGGAAATTATCCCACTTTGGCTGACCCTGAGGCTAGATGATGGGAGAGGGAGATTGATTGGGTGAAGAGGGAAGGGAGAAGAGGGGAGGAGAGGGGAGGGAAGGGGAGGGGAGGGAGGAGAGGAGAAGGGAGGGGAGGAGAGGGGAGGGGAGGGGAGGGAAGAGAGGAGAAGGGAGGGGAGGAAAGGGGAGGAGAGTGGGGGGAGAGGGGAGGGGAGGGGAGTGGGGAGGGGAGGGGAGGGGAGGGGAGTGGGGGAGGAGAGGGGAGGGGAGGGGAGGAGAGGAGAGGGGAGGGAGGAGAGGAGAGGGGAGGGGAGGAGAGGGGAGGAGAGTGGGGGAGGAGATGGGAGGGGAGGGGAGGGGAGGAGAGGAGAGGGGAGGGGAGGAGAGGAGAAGGGAGGGGAGAAGAGGGGAGAGGAGGGGAGGAGAGGAGAGGGGAGGGGAGGGGAGAAGAGGAGAAGGGAGGGGAGGAGAGAAGAGGGGAGGAGAGGGGAGGGGAGGGGAGGAGAGAAGAGGGGAGGAGAGGGGAGGGGAGGGGAGGAGAGGGGAGGGGAGGAGAGGAGAGGGGAGATCGCTATATAAAGGCGGGTAAATCGGGAAAGGAAATAAAAGGGGAAAGAGGTAAGGTTGTTTAGGGCAAGAATTAATTAATTGATTCAAAAGATACACGACTGTTTTTTTTTATTTTTTAAACTTCCTCCTCTTTGTCGTCGTTCTACTCCTTTTCTTCCCCTTTTCCTCTTCTTCTTCTTCTTCTTCTTCTTCTTCTTCTGCTTCTTCTTCTTCTTCGTCTTCTTCTTCTTCTTCGTCTTCTTCTTATTCTATTATCCGTCTGACGGGGCTGCTAACGTCGCTTAAAGTTTACTGGATGACACATGATCATGAAAATGAAACGTTATATACCGACTGGAATAACTAACAATTTTAATCCATCTGTTTTCTGTAAAATGTTTACCATCAACATGTATTTTCAATGGCTATTATAATAATGGACAACATTTCTTGTTTATGTTAAAATACAGACTAGAAGTTGAATAAAACTTAGATAATAGATGCGAATACTAAGTGGATAAAGTAAATCAATGATTTACTGGATCGAAAAGCATTTATAATCTATAAGATATATAATTTTATCTAATTTAAACATGTGATGAATTGCTTGTTGTAAAGAAGTATGCATGATGTCATCCGTGATTTTGTAGCTCTGAATAAAAAAATTATAACAAGAAAAAAAATCAATGGCTTTGTAGAGATATCTACATATGATCCTTGAGACAATGTGGTAATTTCATGGTTCTTTGTTTATTAACACTCAACTGAACTCCAATCATTTCCATACACCGGAATGTACAAAGTAGCAATAGTAGGTAGTAGTTTAGTAGGTAAAACAAAGTTTTCCTTCCTTGAATCCGTGCCCACATCATATCATATCTGTAGTTTCCATGTGACAAGCCTAGCTACGTTTGTACAACAATTCCAGTCAATCTACGGTATCCTTAAAACAAAAACTAAATTTGGCTTCTTATAACTTGATCCTTACATTCCTCCCCCCAGTTGCAGCTAGAGGGTGCAACGATTAACATCTATTTAACCAAAACTTAATTGTCCACCACTGATGTAAATTAACAAAATACCAACTGTTATCTACATGTATTATCAAATGTTTACAACCATTTTCTACATATTGTCTCATAACCTAGGTAAAATTAAATTCAAACACTTTCTATTTATATAATACCTAAGTGTTTCCAAAACAAATCATAATCACAATGAGATGTAACACTTATGTCTCTATACTCTGCCAATTTCTACTATCTAAATGCACAGAATACACTAAATTCTGCTAAATTGAGCTTTATCCCTGGATTACTATAAACATTCCTGTATCAACTCAACAAAAGCATCCAATACAAAATAATCATGAATCAATGATAACTTTAAATCAAAATATTTTCAATGTTTACTCATAGCTGTCAAACTTTTGTCAAACTTTTGTCATAATGTAATACCTATGGTAATTAAATTATCAAAAACACCATTTTCGTTATAATTGCCTTTCAAAAAATAACTCTGGAAATAAACCAGTAATATGATATCCAAACACAAGAATTGTTCTTCCAAAACAAGAATAATTAGTGGCTGTATTTACTACCTTTAACATTTTTCCTTTTGTTTTTACTTAAACATAAAACAATTTCTGAACACCTTCAATTGAACTGAACTGATGTACATGTACATCAACATAAAAGGAACATTGAAATAACGTAGATGCACATGTACTTTCAAACAATAGAAAAAAGGAAATATTTAGCATTGTGCATAATACCATCTTCATACATGTAATACTTATACTTCTGCTTGAACATTAACCTTGTTCTTTCTATTTGCATATATCAATCTGTCCGAAGTTTACCTGCATGACTGAAGTCACATTGTGGATTGACTACTAAGCACATGCAAATATCCTTGCCATTTGCACATAAAACTAAATAACATTCCTTACTTCACTTAAACATGTTAATCCTCAATTTAAATATAACACAATCTGAACTTCCTTATAATGTTCTACACTGCAGAGTGCAGACACATATATTTAAATCTTATCATTCATGTTAATGTTCTGAACATCTAATGAAATGAAATTTCTAACTTTCTATGTCAACAAATACACTGTTTTCAAAACACTTTCTCCCTTTAACCCTATTTGAGTTCTCTCTTTCTGGTATGTTTTATATTAACAAAGTGTATCTGATTTTAACTCTGAGGCTAGTTCAATCATTACCTTGAACAAATTTTTAACAAAATATTCTCTTTTAATTATTTGTGTACATGTTTGTTCAATCATCCTCAATTTAAACATCCCAATTGTGATAACACAAAGAAATATTGAAACTCAACAAACTTACATATATGCATGCACATGTATGAGTATAAAACATCAAATTTCAAAACAAACATTTCAGTCATGAATAGCATTTCACAGAGTTCAACTTAAACAGTTTGAAAGTTCAATAGTTCGTTCCAGTTCATGTTCATATCCTTTATCGTTCTTGCAAAGCATAAACAATATTCGGTGCTGACTTATCATAATTAAATGTCTTAAATTGACATCCTTTCATGGAAGCATCCTCTCTTGAAATCGCGTAAAACTTTGCTCTCTTGCAATTCGCGTGTTGACAAAATCATCCTGTGTAAATTCGCGACTTGACATATGTTGATCCAATGCAAATTCGCGATAAAACATATGTTGATCCAATGCAAATTCGCGATAAAACATATGTTGATCCAATGCAAATTCGCGGTTAAAGATGTGTTGATCAGATCCAAATTCGCTATTAAACATGATTTGATCCTGTATTGGCTCATTATCACAAATGATTACCAATTACTAGCCAAAGGGCTATTAATATTTTACTTCTCACTTTAACACAAACACAAAATTTCACTGGCGCTCTGAATTCCACTTGTTCGCTTGATCCAAACACAAATTGCTTCATTTGCTTGATATCCTCCTCCAATAATGATTCAAAGCACATCCACTTAAAGGCACTTTCACATATTATACATGTAGATCCTTTCATAAATTTGAGACAAACTCCATTCAAATTTCCTGCTCCAGTAAAATACACAACTTGGTTACTGGCCTTACTAGCGATGTTGTTGCAGTTTTCACTTTCGCTCTGCGGACGAACCCCTTGTTGTCTGGCATAACCTCTTGCACTCGGGCCATGGACCAGGAACATCTGTGCGCTGTTTCGTCTATGACGAGTACAATGTCCCCCACCTGAAGGTTACGACTTGGCTGCAGCCACTTTTGTCGGCGTTGTAGAGAAGGCAGGTACTCTCGCACCCACCTCTTCCAGAATAGGTCTGCCAAGTACTGCATCTGTTTCCACCGCTTCTTTGAGTAGATGTCCTTGTCGTCGAAGATCCCTGGAGGTAGCGTCGTTGAACCCTTCATAGTCAGCAAGCTGTTTGGTGAGATTACATCCAGATCATTTGGGTTGTCTGAACATCTGGTAAGAGGCCTACTATTTATGACGGCCTCCACTTCACACATGAATGTATGGAGCTGCTCCTCATTCTGGTAGGACTTTAGATACTGCTCTCTCATGACTGCACACAGTATCTTTCTGACTGTTCTAATTTGGCGTTCCCATACTCCCCCCTGATGGGAAGCAGCAGGAGGATTGAAATGCCATTTCATGCCATGGTTTGCATGAAAGTTGATCAGCTGGTCTTGATTCAGCTCCTTTAATGCCTGCTTCAGTTCCCTTTCAGCTCCTACTAAATTTGTACCATTATCCGAGAACATCTCTTTCATAGGTCCTCGGCGGCTGATGAAGCGACGAATAGCCTCAATACAGGAGCTTGTGTCTAGACTCGATGCAACTTCAATGTGCACCCCTCTGCAGGACAGGCATGTGAAGATTACGCCATATCTTTTCCTTATGCTTCTTCCACACTTTATTTCAAAAGGACCAAAATAGTCCATGCCAACTCTGGTGAACGCCGGCTCGTCACTCTGAACTCGACTTCTTGGAAGTTCTGCCATTTTCTGATGACCAGCCTTTCCTTGGTTCTTTCTACAAATGATGCATTTCCTTGCTATGTTTCGTGCTAAAACTCCAGCTCCTACCACCCAGAATTTCTGTCGTAATTCAGCTACCATGTGATTTTGTCCCTGATGACCAACTCTCCTATGGATGTATTGCATTAAAAGAGTGGTTACATGATGCTTCTTTGGTAGGATGTATTGATGTTTAGCACTGCTTGGAATCTGGGCATTCTGCAACCTTCCACCTACTTGAAGTAACCCATTGCTCAATTCTGGATCAAGGTTACTAAGGGTAGAGCGTTTTGGTACTCCTTTCTCTTCTCCGTGACCAGCCAGTCGTTTCATTTCCTCTGGGAATGATTCAAGTTGCAATTGTTTAACAATTGCGACTTCGGCATCTTCAATGTCCTTATTTGTCAGGCTGAACATTTCACTGGAATTGCCATCTATTCCTTTCCCCTTTCCTTGTAGCATTTTCTTGAACTTCAATATCCAGGCAACTCCTCGTTTCAGCTTATCCCAATCAGAATAGTGCGACAGGAGTGCACTTATTGGATCCTCCTTGTTTATCATTGTGGCATGAATGTGAGTCTCATCCAAATCTCCTGACATAGTATCATCAGCTTTCTCCATTCTTGCTGGAGCTTTCACACCCTCAGATGGCCATATTTCTTCAGACCGCTTTAGGAATTCTGGGCCTTCAAACCATTCCTTCTTCTTGGTTAGTTCACTGGCATCCAATCCCCTGGATGCATGATCTGCCGGGTTTAACTTGGTAGGAATGTACTTCCACTGATTTGTCTCTGATCCATCTCGGATGATACTCAGTCTGTTTGTCACAAATACTGGATATCTGGCAGTTTCGTTGGCAATGTATTTCAGAACTGTTTGACTGTCCGTCCAAAATACTGTCTCATCCAACTCCATATTCATTTCCCTCTTGATCATACTGTCTTGCTTTACTGCGAGTGTTGCAGCAGTTAACTCCATCTTAACAATAGTGTGAGGCTTCAGTGGGGCAACCCTGGCTTTGGCTGTCAAAAATGCCACATGAACCTCTTCATTCTCATCTGTCTGTCTCAAGTAGGTCACAACACCATAGCCATCCATGCTAGCATCGGCAAAGTGGTGCAGCTGTCTGTTTGTCACTATACCAAAGTTCTTTGGTTTTAGACATCTTTCAGTCTTCACCTGGTCAAGATTTTGTAGCTCATTCATCCAATGTTCCCATTCCATTTTCTGCTTTTCAGGGATTGACTGGTCCCAGTCCAATTTAGCTTGGCACAATTCTTGCAGAATTATCTTAGCCTTCAGAACGAATGGTGCTGCTAGCCCGAAGGGATCATAGACTGAGCTCATTACTGATAGGATGTTTCGGCGAGTAGCCTTTCTTGACATTTCTTTCAATTTGAAGCCTAACTGGTCATTTTCTGGATCCCATCTTACACCAAGAGCTCGTTCAGTTGGAAGAACTTCCCTTTGTAAGTCCAAATCCTTCAATTCAACGGCATGTTCCTCCTTTGGAATGGAATCCAAGACCTCTCGTCTGTTGCTTGACCATTTGGTTAACTTGAAGCCTCCCTTGGACAACACTTGTCTTAATGATTCAGCTAGATCAATGCCTTCTTGGGGTGTTGATACTGACTTCAGAAAATCATCAACGTAAAAGTCTTTCTGTATGGCATCTAGGACTTCTTCCTTTGCACAACCTTCATTGTCCTTTGCTGTTCTTTTCAGGGCATAATTCGAACAACTGGGAGAAGATGTAGCCCCAAAAAGATGGACTAGCATTCTGTAGGCTACTGGCTCTTTGGTGATATCCCCCTCAGGCCACCACAAGTAACGCAGCATGTCGCATTGGTCTGGTGTAACTTTCACCTGATAGAACATAGACTGTATATCTGCCATTATAGCCACTTTCTCTTTCCTCCATCTGAGGAGAACACCAAGTAATCTGTTGGTTAGATCTGGTCCTTGTAGGAGTTCCTGATTAAGAGACTTTCCTTTGTAGCTGATAGGACAATTGAAGACTACTCTAATCTTTCCTGGCTTTTGGGGATGATACACCCCATGGTGAGGGATATACCATACCTTCCCATCATGTCTGTCCAAGTCTGCTTCTGGAACCTTCTCTGCATAGCCTTGCTTTTCCAGATCATTCATGAATGTGGTGTACTGTTCATGGATTTCCTTGTTCTTTGATAACTTCTGTCCTTGTCTTTCCAGAAATCTTTCAGCTTGGTCCTTGTTGTTAGGCATAGCCAGATCTCTCTGCTTTAAGGGCAGATCTATCTGATAATGATTGTCTTTCTTAGTGATAGATTTCTCCATTATGTCCAAGAAAGTCTTGTCGTCAACTGACAGGCCCTCTCTGTGATCACTTAGTCTCTCTGTAAATTCCATATTGCAGAAGTCTTTGAATTTCCGTTCTAATTCCTCTTGTCTAGGAATGATGGAAACTTCTTCCTGTTTACAAAAACAGACTTTGTGAATATCTGCTTGCTCTTGAGCTTGTATACCATACACGAGCCAACCTAGCCTTGAGCGGATAGCATATGGTTCTTCGATGTCACCAGCTTTAATTTCTAGAGGCATCGATGCTGACGGAACGTTGGCTCCAATCATGAGAGTTACCCTTGAAATAGAGTTGCGGTTACTTATTTCGGGCAATTCTATGTCCTTCAGATGTTTCCATCGTTTCAGATCCTTTTGAGTTGGAGCATCTGAAACTGTCACTGGTATACCATCTTTGACATAGATGGGCGGAAGATTGATGAATTCCTTCTCCTTTACTCCTGCGATCTGCAGCTCATCTACAGTGACTTCTGTATCTATCACTTCTTCAAGATTCAATGTCTTGACTATTAGCTTGGTTTTCCTGGTTCTTGCATGCAGCCTTTGGGTAAGTTCTGTGTCACAGAAGACTGTTCCACATCCATTATCTATGAATGCATAAGTTGATATGCATCTGTCATTTCCTTTGTGCTTCACGATGACTGGAACTATCGTCATGCACGTCGATGTCTGGGGTTTTCCTCCAACACCTTTCTTCACATTGGTAGACCCTGAAGAGATCCTTCCAGCTTCACTTTGCACATCGGTAGATGTTGAAGCATCATTGGTGGTTTTCCTTGTATTTCCTTCTCCGTCTTTCATCCACCTGGGATCATGCATTAAAGTGTTGTGCATCCTGTCGCAGACATCACACTTGATCTTACTCTTGCATTCCTTTTTCAGATGTTTTGGTTTCAGGCATCGGAAGCAGAGGCCTTTCCTTTTACATTGCTCTGATCTTTCTTCAACTTTCAAGGCTTCAAATTTTCGGCACTCGTCAATAACATGCCTTGAGTTGGTGCCACAGAAAGTACAACTTGGATCCCTCTTGTCCTTCTGCTCCCTATCCTGTTGTGTAGCTGTACCAAATGCCTTTGTGCTTCTTGATTTTTGTAGTTTTTCTTTCTCATCTTTATTGTAGGAAGCATTTTTCTCAGTCCTCTGATATCCCAATCCCTGTACCATGGGATCGTTAATGTTTCTTTCAGTCTGTATGGCGAACTGTGCAAGGTCGTCCAGGGTGGGATTCCTATTGGCAATATCACGAGTCAGGCCTACTCGTGAGATCCACTTCTGTTGGAGATACAAGGGTAGTTTGCTTGCCAGAACTCTCAGAAAACTTGCACTATCCATGCCTCCTAAGTCCCCTGCTGCTCTAACATGTGAGCAATTATTGAGGTATATTGCGAATTTTCGCAATCCTTGCCTATCTCCTGATCGTATCTGCTCCCAGGCAATTGCCCTTTCCTTGTATGCATTTATTATGTTACTCTGCTTTCCGTAGTCTCTGTGTAGCATGGACTTGGCTGTCTCATATGCCCTCTTACTTGGTTGTATGTGGGGGCATTCTCGAATAAGCTCATGCGCTTCTCCTCGTGTGTATTTTAGTAGAAGCTCTAGTCTTCTGAAAGGTTCATCAGTTCTCTTTTCAACCACATATTCAAAATTCCTTATAAAGGTAAGGTAATCAAGTGGATCCCCATTGAACGGCTCGAGATCTGGCGATGGTAGACTGTTTTCTGCAGTGAATCTAATCATCTCCCTAAGCATCTGTTTGGTGGCTCCTTCTTCATTGCTCACAGGTTCCTTGCGAAAGGCTTGTTCTTGTTCTTGTCTACGACCACCGACAAAATCACCTCTAACTCGTTCTTGTCCACGATCACGGAAAGAGTCACCTCTAACTTGATTTCGTTCTTGTCCACGATCACGGAAAGAGTCACCTCTAACTTGATCTCGTTCTTGTCCATGATCACCGACAAAATCATCTCTAACTCGTTCTCGTTCTTGTCCACGATCGAGGAAAGAGTCACCTCTAACTTGATCTCGTTCTTGTCCACGATCACGGAAAGAGTCACCTCTTACTTGTTCTCGTTCTTGTCCACGATCACGGAAAGAGTCACCTCTTACTTGTTCTCGTTCTTGTCCACGATCACGGAAAGAATCACCTTCCACTTTCCATTTCTGTAGCTCTTCTTCTGAGTCTTGTTGTAGAAGCTTCAATTCTGCTTGCAAGAGAATAGCAGTCTTTTGTCTTTCAATCTCCGCTTCTTCATCCTTCAAAAGCTGACTCTTTCTCAAATTCTCAGCCTTTTCTTTTGCAATTCGTATTTCTTGTTCGGCTTGTTCCATTTCATGTTGTTTTTGAAGTGTTCTCAGTTTCTTCTCAAGTTCACTCGTTTGATGTAAGGCTATCAACTTTGCTTTAAGTTGTCTTTCCTTCTTTCTCTCTCTTTCTCTCCTCTTTGCAGTGCTGGCAGAAGAGGCCGATGATCCACATAATGACAATGTGGATTCTGAGTCATCTTGATCTTCTTTCCCATTCTCTAGATCTCTTTCTCTAGTAAAGCTCCTTGTTGCACCACTCTCCTTATCATCAACATGATCAATATCATTGCCACTGGCATTGCTCAGTTCCTTATCTTTCACGACATGATCGATATCATTGCCATTGGCATTGCTCAGTTCCTTATCTTTCCCACCTGGGGATTTGGGAGTAGTATTCCCATCCAGCATAATTGCAATTTACTTGATAAACATTCCTTTCAAATCAGCAGTAACGTGTAGAGCTATAGAGTCTAGCCGATTTCACTTCAAAGTTTCATTTCATTCAGCCGATTTCACTTCTGAGTTTCATTTCATTGAATTACTCACTGTGTCACGTCACGTCAGACTTTAGTACTTGTGCGGTGTTCGCGAGTATCACGCCCGGGGGCTTTGCCGTGTCGAATTCCTTCATCCATGCAGTATCCGTTGAAGAATCGACTTTGTTTTACTAATGTAGAGATATCTACATATGATCCTTGAGACAATGTGGTAATTTCATGGTTCTTTGTTTATTAACACTCAACTGAACTCCAATCATTTCCATACACCGGAATGTACAAAGTAGCAATAGTAGTAGTAGTTTAGTAGGTAAAACAAAGTTTTCCTTCCTTGAATCCGTGCCCACATCATATCATATCTGTAGTTTCCATGTGACAAGCCTAGCTACGTTTGTACAACAATTCCAGTCAATCTACGGTATCCTTAAAACAAAAACTAAATTTGGCTTCTTATAACTTGATCCTTACAGGCTTTACAACGTCCTTTCAGCGATAGGATAATTATATGCATGAATTCACTTTTCATTTTGTCCGCTTCACGTACAGGATGTGTATGGCCATGTTCTCTACCGCCCTCTCCGTCGGACTCATCCCGTTGTGGTTTTCCTTCTATGCCAGTAACTGGACACATGAGTATTTCGTCATCCCCACACCACTTGACCTCGCCTTGGCCGAGCTGTTGTTAGTCGTACCTACTATCCTGGGTGTGCTGTACCAGAAGAAGTACGGAAAAGTCAAGGGAAGGCTGATGGCAAAGGTAGGCTTGTGAGTTACATGTACGAAGTCCACTATCTGGACTGCTTCCGGGTCGCGCGCCCAATCAGCTGAGAAAATAACACACCCTCAGCGCTGAAACGGAGACATTTAGTCCTAATTGGTTCTAGGACACCTACCCCCTGGACATCCATGCACCCCCGGATAACCACTCCCAACTACCTCTTAGGACAACTACCCCCTAGAACAACTAACCCTGTAGGGCAACCACCCTCTAGGACGACTATCCTCGAGACAACTACCCCCTAGGACAATTTCACCCTGGTCAACTACCCCCCGGACATCCACCTCCGGATAACAAGCCCTAGTTAACTACCCCCTAGGATAACTACCACCCAGACAACTACCCCTGGACAACTATACCGTCTGGGACATTAACTACCTCCGGGACACCTACCCCCTCGACATCCACCCCCGGATAACCACCCCCAGTCAACTACCCCTTAGGGCAACCACCCTCTAGGACAACTACCCCCTAGGACAACTTCCCCCAGGACAACTAACCCCCGGACAACTACCCCCGGACATCCACCCTAGTCAACTACCCCCTAGGACAACTACCCCCAAGACAACTACCCCCCCCCCCCCCCAGGCAAGTTAAATGAGATATTACATGATTATTATCGCCTATATCCTCTGTATTTCCTCTTTTCTCAGCATGGATTCTCGCCGTTTCTGTCTCTCTGGATCGATCCGCGCGCGCACGCCCTTATGAAAAAACCCATGGTCACCACGGTTCCATGGACAAATTACCATCCACCATGGTAACCATGGTAGATGGTAATTTGGACAAAAACCACACCCTCGATTTGTCTCTGCATGTCTCTGAAATTGTATCCTAGTTTTTCTCTCTCTCTCACACTCTCTCCGTCTCTGTCTCTGTCTCTTTCTTTCTTGATCTATCTATCAATCTCTGGATCTCAATTTCTCACCCTTTTTTTTCTCTCTCTCTTTCTTGCACCTCCCCATCTTCTTTCTCTCAGATCTGCAGCAATGCCTTCTGGATCGCCGCCGTCACCACCCCTGTCCTAAATGGCATCACCAACCCCGAATATTACATGGTGGACTGGCAAATCTGGGTTGGCACCGTATCCTTACCACCGATCGGCTTTGTATGCGGGATCGTAATTGCTCTCATCGCTAGCCTCCCGTTCAATGTCTGCTGCGCGGTCTCGCTCGCCGTCGGTATGCCGAATGTCTACTTCGCCAGCCAGCTCTCGGAGAGGTACCTCTCAGAGAACGAAGAGACCCTGAAAGACGTGCGTGGTATCTTGACTATATTCAGCCTCGTGACGCCTTTGGAAGGCTTCATTTGGGCGATCATGTATCGTTACATCGAGGGGATGTTCCTGAAAATCTCGCACAAGTGCTGCAGATGTTCTGACGACGATCCCGATCATGGCCAGGACAACAGAAGATTGTTAATGGACGCAGAGGAACCTGAGGCCCGTCTCTCGAAACCGTCACGAGTCTCATTTCTTGACTGTTAATATAGGCGTTAGGCTACTTGTCCGCTATACGTATTTCAGGAAGCCCTCTTTGTCAAGATCAAAGACGATTACATCCTGACTAAGGGCGTGTTTATGCTTCACTTTTTCTGGCCAGAATCAGGCATCTGTTACGCGTTTAGTTTAAAACACCGTTGCGTCCATGCTCACTTTTGTAGAATCGATCTCACCGAAAAACGGCGATCACGATCGCCGATCGTAAACTCACAAAAAGATGCGTTTACAATTTGTAAACGCGTTTAAATGGGGTCAACGCACTGACCTCTAGTGGGTATACGTAGCATACACAGTGAAGGTTTGCGAATCCAGCTGGAATACCAATTAAGGCCACACACGGAGAATTGCCTGTAGGAGCCAGAGAAGGGAGCATGAACAGCACACCGTGGAACTGCGATTACGATGAGCGTTTACGATGAGCGTTACAAATCGCTCATTCTACCTTCAAAAGTGAAGCATAAACGCGCCCTAAGTAGTGTTAAGCTTCGACCCCTTCATATTTCTTTCCTGATCACTTTTCAGTCGATGGGCAGTGCCAACACATGTCATTTATGGGCAAAAAAAAAACACAAATCATACAGCTATGATCTTTTTACACATTTTAAACTGGGATTTATCGGTTTTTATATTTGAAAATTTTATGAAAATATGCCATGTTTATATTAACTCTTATCATGCCACAGGGCTAGTCCCCATTGTGCCAAGCCCCAAATTCTCCCGTGCCAGGTTGTTTTGGAGATAATCTGATTAACACGATGGTTCTATGAATAGCGAGTGCAAAATACACTGCACAGTCCAATGAGCATGAACAATAACTGCTATTACGAATGCTGCATTGCACGCACATGGCACTCAAGCGGTGGCTCTCTCGCATGTACAAAGCACTATAACGATAGCGTGCATGCAGCCTTATGGCAGGCTATGAGTTAAGTATTTTCCACTATAGCTATATATACTGATTATACGCGTTGATTTCCATATTGTAAACTCATCGAAGGGAGTAGGCCTACGGGTAATCTGCCAAGGCAGGAAACCATAGTTAGAAGTTTAGTCTAATTCTCAGACCTATATTAATTTCTAGAAAAAATTCTGTCTTCAAATGTGTAAACTGAATAGTTTAGACCATATGTTTAACGTTTGGAATGTTGCAGTTTTGTAATTTGTTACTATTGCGCTAACGCCTAAAACATTGGACAAAAGTTTCATAACATCGTACTTTTAAAATAATATTATAGAGGTGTATTTTTATAAGAATATTATAGGGGTGTATTTTTTAAAGAATATTATAGGGGTGTATTTTTATAAGAATATTATAGGGGTGTATTTGTATAAGAATATTATAGGGGGTGCATTTTTATGAATTATCATATGAAAATATCCGGGGGGTGCCCATCTCAAAAACAAAACTGAAAATAAATAATTCTATGGTATAATCTACACATATTTTAAGGTATATTGCAACTCTTATTCTCTGGTACTCTTTTGAATCTTTTTTCATTCCTTATTCATTTTATTATTCATATAGTAAATTAATTATATAATATGGACTGGCCTTGAGGGAGATACCACATAATTTTTCCCAAACTAGACTCATATTGCCCCGAGTCAAAGACGAGGGCAATATGGTTCTTGTGAGGGAAATATATGTGGTATCTCCCGAAAGTTAAGCCAGTCAATATTGTTATTGTTATCTAAATCAGACATCTAGAGCAAATACATACATGACAATCTCATAAAACTGAACAAGCTTTGTCAAACCAGCACTGTGCATCCACCTGCTTGACAAAATTGTCGATACACTGCAAACAGTGTACCCAATTTGGTGTGACTATTACGTCACAATATTTAGAGTACGCGCAAAGTGCGCATGTTCTCGTACGCATAATAGATGCGCAATGAAAATGACAAAATACGGCGCGGTGAATATGGTCTTATATTATATGCTTTTTTAACACGTAAAGTCCATAGGCTTTTTTTATGAAAGGTAAATATGGTCTCATATTCCCCGATTAGCCCTTTTAGGATTACCAGCAAGTGTAATATGATTTGTTATATACCTCACTTAAGAAATCCAGCTATCTGATTGGTCGAAATTGCATTCATAAAGTTCAACTATTCCTGTAAAATTCCCGGTAAAATTCCAAACCCATGTAATAGTTCAAAAATAGTTCTAAAATCCCAGTTACCATGGTTACTGGGAAAATAGTTCAGTCTTGGTGAATTACCCATAGGTTTACATGTTAAAAAATGGTCTGAGCGATCGAGGATACCGTACGTGTGCGATGAATTGGTCGGTAATTTCAATACAATTGAATCTCGATCGATCTTACCGACAATTTTATCTTGCATTGTTGACATGAAGACGAAAATAAACTTCCAAAAACAACATTTGCCGATAGATCTTGATCTAAGTTCGTGCAAATGCATTGCAAAAGTAAAAGAAGGTCCCGTTTAATGGAGCTGCTGCGAAGCATCCAACACGCGAAGCCGTTTTCAATCCATTTTAATGTATAAATCAGAGAAAACTGAAGGGATGGTATCAGTGCGCGATGGGTCTAAGGCTGTGATTTTAGTCACATCATCGTTGATACGCAAGAGATCAAATCCCATCTTCGACAACAAAAAAAACCAAAAAAAATTGTGTCGAAGATGGGATTTTTTTTTAGTCTACTCTCAAAAATACACTCATAAAAAAAACAACCGTGCAGACAAACTAGATAAAGGCCAAGATGGTGTCATAAGTTAACTCTTTTTTTTTCGGCATATAAAAGTATTAATGACTGCTTTAATATTCGAGAAATAGTTGTTTTTATACGCTCTCGGGAAGGTTACAATTGGGCTATTGTCCTCGGCACGCCTCGGGCAATAGCACAATTCTAATCTTCCCTTGAGCGTATAAAAACAACTATTTCTCTCAAAGCAGTCATTAATACTATAGTAAAAACCACTGCTCAGATGTCTGATACGGGTAATAATGACATTTATCTTTCATCTAGACTATAAAGGAACATGTTTGTTTTAGGCCTCAAAGTTGTACTAGAGAAGCAATATTTTGTATGAGAATGAAGACAGAAAGGTATATTACAGTAAATAAAGAAATATATGTGTGCTTTATTGACTTCTCTAAAGCATTCGACAAAATTCACCACGACAAATTGATTGAAAGTTTACAACAAATTTGTTTAGATGAAAAGAATATACGTCTCATATCTAAACTTACTGGGAGCAGACAGCTGGCATCAAAATTAATAATGAAATTACAGGTTACACAAAAATCAAAAGAGGAGTACGTCAGGGATGCGTAATGTCCCCATCTCTGTTTAACTTGTGCACAGAGTTGGTATTCAGGGAACTTACAGATATGAAAGGTGTTAGCCTTTGGGTTTAAATATTAATAATTTGCGTTATCCTGGCTGATGACACTGTACTTTGCGCAGAGAATGAAGAAGATTTACAACATGTATTGGATATTGTAAAAGTCAAACGTGAAGAGTTTGGTCTAAGCATGAATGTCAACAAAACTACTAAATGATTTTTAGTAGGGCAGAGAATAAGCCTAGAATACGTTTGGAACTCTATGGACATATCAGTGAGCAGGTCAATAATTACATCTAATTAGAACAAAATGTCACAGATGATTCCAGATGCGAAGCAGAAATTGCTCGGAATACTTTTCTGGCAATGAAAGGATTATTCACAGATAGAAAGGTAAAATTTACGCTTAGGTTGAGACTAGTAAACTGTTATGTATGGTATGTCCCATTGTGTGGAGCAGGAACATAAACACAAAACGAGGCCATTGGAAATAGAATAAAATCTTTTGAAATGTGGATTTACAGAAGAATGATGAAAATATTCTGGAAAGTAATGATAACCAACAAAGAGATATTGCACATGACGGGGCGTAAACAAATTGCACTAGTAGGATTAGTAAAGGAGAGAAAATCAAAAACTTTTGTCGTGTTAAAAGGCACCAAAGCCTCTTAATTAAAGGATGTATTGTAAGGAAGAGTGGAAGGAAGTAGACCTAGAGGGAGACCTAGAATCAACTGGGAAGAGAATGTCAAGAACTGGAGTGGACTAAAACTGCAAGATTGCACCAGAATGGCAGAGGATAGAGTGAAATGGAGAGATGTTGTAATCAACCTCCGAACCGGGATGAAGATACTTAGTTCCCTTGTCAAAGGTTTAATACCAAGTCAAATGATTTATCCCATTTCAAAGGTTTAATCCCATATCAAGGTTTCATCCTATTTCAAAGATTTAGTCCCATGTCAAAGGTTTCATCCCATGTCAAAGATTTAATCCCCTGTTGCACGTTTAAATCCACGCTTAGTATGTGACAAATCAATCTGTCCCGATTTATTTTTCTTGAGAATATGACATATTAAAGGGAGTTTGTAACATTGTTTGGATGATCAGAAATGGTGCTAATGTAGTGACTTCAATGCTAGATGTACTAATAAAGCTAATCTGAAAGTTTGAGTGACAACAGACCATTATCAACGATAAAAATTAGGAAAAACCTATCTGATCGATTCTTTGAATGACCCAACCTTATCATTACAATTTAATTACATTTTAGGTGAATTTAAATCTTCACAAAGCAATGAATATGAATAATGTATATACCGTTCCAGACATTTAAGTGTTGAAATATTTTTTAAAGCCTATCTGAATATTATTCATGGCAAGATTTATTTTTGTGTGGTAACTTACAAATCCTGCAACTGTAGGAGTAAGTCCATCTGTATTTATGTATGTTTTTATTGGTTGCATTACTTGAGCTGTGAAATTGTGAAAGAAATGAACACATGAGTTGAACAATATTTATTTTGTCGTCCACTTGCATCTTTTTTCCTTTTTGGAATTGTACATGTACAATGCAATTATAGGATGAACTGAATACTCCCCCCCCCCCCCCATCCCAGGTGTAATGATGGGATGGGGAGGGTGACAACTTCTAAAACAGATACCTACCTCTATCAAGAACTGTTAAGTTTTTCTTCTTTAATTTTTATTGTTGCTAGAGTTTAAGGCTGAAAACCCTTTCTCATCCTCCCATTCCAATGTATCTTTTCTCTCTGCATCCACTTTCATCTTTACTGTCCCCCTCTCTACCTCTCTCTTTCCATCTCCCTCTCACCTTTGGCCTTCTCTACCTCTCTCTCTCTCTCTCTCTCCTCTTCCTACCTCTTTGCCTCCCGCTCGTCACGACGCGCACTTTATCATCTATTATTTGCAGCAATATTTCTCTGTTGCGGTGTATTGCTTTGTGTCTATAAACCGGACCCTTTTCTCTCTTTCTCTGTCATTTCCTTTTTTTTAATGATAAATCCAATTCAATTATTATGATGAAATTCAACTTTCCTCTCACATCTTAATTATTTTTTCTTAATTAATGATATTATCTAGATTTAATTAATGAAACAAAGTGAATTCCTTCCCGATTACACTGAATAGAACTTACCAAAAGACGGTTTCGGAGGAAAGGAAAGGTGATGACGTTTTTTTTTTTAATGTTAAACTCTTAAAGGGATAGTTGAGTTCTGTTGCAGAGGGCGCTACACAAAATATTTTTTTTGTGAGATTATGAAAAACTGAGTGTCAAATTTGAAAGAACATTATATTTAAATGACAAAATCATCTTTGTTTGATCTAAATCGGTTCAGAGACGGCTGAAATATCCATAAATATAACGATTTCGTACCACCACAAATATTAGATATTTTGAAAAATTTGCAAAAACCGTTGAAAAAAAGAAATAACGGCTTTTACCTCGTATTTTAGCCAATACCGATGTTAGCTTTTTTGTTGGCATTTCGTGTTGCTTATAGTATGCACAACCAGCCGGGCCATGTATTTTTATTTTTAATTAAAACATTAATTAACGGTCATCATGTTTTGTTTTAAGTGGAGCTGTATTGGTATGATCGTATTGGCTAAATTCACACATTTTGGGGTCTAAAATTAACCGTTCATAGCAATTTTAGGTTCTAAAAGGGCACTAGAAATGTCATAGATAAGAATAAGAGCAATAACCATGCACTTTGAAGGCATTTGCGGTCTGAAAACAGAACTCAACTATCCCTTTAAGGGCCTTTTCAATCCCGGTTTGTATAAGTGTTATATTCTGATTTCTGTGTCAGTTGAATTGAAAATGAATTCACTTTGTTTCATTAATCGAGCAAATATGACTTTAATTTAGAAATATAATTAAGATGTGAATGGAAATTCGAAATTCATAATTAAAATTGAATGGTAATTATTTATTTTAAAAAGGGGAAACGATAGCGAAACAGAGAAAAAAAAGTCCTGTTTAGATACAGAGCAATACACCGCAACAAAGAAATATTGCTGCAACTAATAGTTGATTTAATTAGTTAGTGCACGACAGGTTTTTTTGTTAACCGTTTTATTGAAAAGAAATATTAAAGCATTCAAAACTGAGTAATTATATTTAAACGTCTTTGGTTCCGCCGTTTCTACCCGGTGAATAAAATGCGAATTAACAAATACACCAATTAACATGATGAGTGGGTGAAAAAGGTGGTTTTCAGGTCTCGTCGTACTCCCTTCCCAATCTCGCTATCCCTCTCTTTCTCCTAGCTATATATTTCATATATTTATCTCTTCTCTCTCTCTCTCTCTCTCTCTCTCATATTGCTCCGTTTAGTCTCATTTCACAATGCCCCCTATCGTCAGAGCATGGTCAGATTCAGCAGCCTAACATGTTAGCCTATGGACGTTTTTTTTAAAAATCGTTAAAAATTCATTTTTTGTTTAAACGAAAAGCACATCCACCCCGACGTACGTTATTACTAGCTCTTTCATTGGAGCCCTCATGTCTCATTGACGTTTGAAAGTTCACCCACCGTAATTTTTCAAAATAGGTTGCAAGCTTTTACTAAATGGAAAAATTACGGTGGGGGGTTGGATGAAATGGACAAAACGAAATAGGCAGAAGTGATCTATGATAATTCATGCTTTTTATGTTTCGTGTGCTCGACCTATAATCTTCAAATCGCTTGGTAAACTGAGTCCAAAGTTAGACTTGTTTCACATGTGTATTATAGGCAATGCCGAGCTTGCAACCTATTTTGAAAAATTAAGGTGGGTGAACTTTCAAAAGTCAATGAGACATGAGGGCTCCAATGAAAGAGCTAGTGATAACGTACGTCGGGGTGGATGTGCTTTTCGTTTAAACAAAAAATGAATTTTTAACGATTAAAAAAAAAAAACGTCCATAGGCTAACATGTTAGGCTGCTGAATCTGACCATGCTCTGACGATAGGGGGCGTTGTGAAATGAGACTAAACGGAGCCATATGGCCAAGGTAAGCAAAAGCATGAATATTCATGGCACACCATGGACTATTCGGTTATTAACAGAGGGGTGCAATCGGTCATCACGTCAAACTCCCCTAATTGCCACCAAGTATTTCATATAATTATATAGTTTGGTATGTTTCTTTTACTCACTCATGAATTATTAAATATCAATGATGGTTTAAAGAAATGTAAAAGAAATTTTAGTTGATATTTATTAACAAAGTAATTTATATTTAGCAAAGCAATCTCACATACAAAATAACTATCAAGTGTCGTCTTCTACGCCGATTGTCGCCTGCTTCGTTAAAGGCACATATTTATCGTTTAGACTGTAAGGTATACCAGGGAGATTTGTATTTTCCTGCAGTACAACGTATAGCAGGAAAATGTTGTATATGCGGATCCTTTTAATGATTACGTTATGGAAGTGGCGAGGCGGTACGGTTTGAATAACTTAGGCAGGTGAAAGTTATTGTATTGAGAAGGAAAGGAATGTTCAGAAAGGCATAGAGATGGAAGTGGGCGTGATAGCCATTCTAGCTTTGCACCTACATCAGTACGAAAATACACCCGACGGCACGGTGGCCTGTACTTATAGCGCGCGAACACATTACACCCAATGGCATACACCCGGTACCCTGCAACACAGTGGAACATTCTAAGAAATTAAAAAATTATCTACAAAATGGACCTCTTGAATCATCTGAGAAGTAACTTACCCTATTCTGATTACTTCAATGAATGTCAAGATAACAATGGCTGCTTTTCCATCCAAAAATAAAACTAGTTTGCAATTAGAAATAGTCAATTTCTCGATAATTTCACAAAATATATTTGCCGCCGCATTCAATATGACGTCATTGACAGCTGATTGGCTAGTTTGGTAGTGACGTCGAACGAGCTATGTTTGTGCTGCAGTGATCGAGCGAGCGAAAATGAGACAATCGGAGCAATATGGTCTCTCGCTCAGCTCTCTCTTCCTTCTCTCGCTTCTCTCTAGTTCCACCTAGAACTACAATGACTGGGCATTCAAAAACCCTGTTTATTCTCAAGATTTATACTTAGCCACCGAACAGCTATAAATTTCGTATCTCCCCCCCCCCCTCTCTCTCTCTCTCTCTCTCTCACTCAGCTCTTTCTTCCTCCTCTCTCTCTCTCCGCTTTATAGTTCAACCTAGAACTATATGACTAGGCATTCAAAAGCAACTGTTTATTCTCAAGATTTATACTAAGCCACTTAACAGGGGCCGAAAAAACCAACACCAAACAAAAAGTTCCACCTAGCCCTGCGTGGCTGGGCATTCCAAAATCGCCGGTAGGCCTACTGTTTGTTCTCCAGTGTTATACACAACCACTGAATGGCTCAACGTGAAATGCTAAGGCCTGCTGAATGGACAATAAGGTTTTGGACTCCGAGGTCAAAAATTAAAAGGAACCCACAAAAGGAGAACTTAAAAGAGGATTTATGTTGCATTCTAAAGGGAAAAAGCAAGGACCCAAAATACGGGGTTTTATAAGCTGAATCTCAGTGCACTGATGCCAAACGAGAGCACAGTACAGTACAGCGCGCTAAAACTAAAAGGAGTCGAATTTATAGAGAAATTTTGTCATTGACTTATCAATTTTGAATGTATCCCAAACTTGTCGTACTGCTTGGCTCTTTAAAATTATAACATCTCGAATGATTTAATTAAGTTAGTATACAAACAAATTCGCTGACTTGACTTAATTGGATCTCATTTGCGTGAGTGAATCTGGCCAACATTTCGACAAGTGGGTCTTAGATCGGCCTACCTTGGAACCCAATTGCTTACGATGATACATGCAGCTAGGGAGCACATTGACGCAAAACTACTGAAGACATTTGCTTGGTAAGTTAAAAACAATTAATCTCATCAGATTGTTATGATTCAAAAGAATGAAGAAAACTTGCATAGATGAAAGGCGATTTTGACTTGTACCGTATATGAAATATTGGCACACATGGAGCTTACTCTTCAACGCACGCTTCTCATTAATTATGCAAGAATATTCAGGGTTGAAGGAAGCATATCTTTTAGGGGAAAGTAGAAGAGGAAGAAGAAGAAGAAGAAGAAAAAGGAGGAGGAGGTGATTGAGAAGGAGAAAGAGAAGGAGAATAAGAGAGGGACAAGAAGAAGAATTAGAAGTAGAGGAGGGGAAGAAGAAGAAGAAGGAGGAGGAGAATGTGAATGATAAAGAGAAGGAGATTAAGAGGAGAGGAGAGGGACAAGAAGAAGAATTAGAAGTAGAGGAGGGGAAGAAGAAGAAGGAGGAGGAGAATGTGAATGATAAAGAGAAGGAGGTTAAGAGGAGAGGAGAGGGACAAGAAGAAGAATTAGAAGTAGAGGAGGGGAAGAAGAAGAAGGAGGAGGAGAATGTGAATGATAAAGAGAAGGAGGTTAAGAGGAGAGGAGAGGGACAAGAAGAAGAATTAGAAGTAGAGGAGGGGAAGAAGAAGACAAAATAATTTTAAGTAGAGGAAGATGAGAAGGAGGAGGAAGAAGAAGAATAATAAGAAGAAGATAAAAAGAAGAACACTATAATGTTATGGACTAAATACACTACACACACACACACATCGTATTAAATCTTCTCATAAGTGAACATCAGTTTCAAATGACTATCATAATTATGTTCAATCATTGAACGGTCGACTCCGCCCAGCAGGCCCCAGCTATATAACAGTAACAATGGATTGAATTGACTAATAAAACAAAATATTAAAACGTAATCTAATAATCTCTATAAAACCAAATCTTGGAAATATTGTTGAAATCAATAGAGTAAATGGGATAACATCTAGTGACTATACGAGTATTATTGTTGTTATGATCATCAACATGACCATCATCGAAGTTATGACTCATCAAATTAAAAAAAAAATCAAACCATGGACATCATCGTTATCTCCTTTATTTCTCTCTCTTCAGCCCTGTATATTATTAATATAATACAACATCGTATAATGATCATGATGATAAGCACGTCGAGTATTATCAAATATTGTTATCGGTATATTGCATTGAGAATCGACAACACTGCCACACACTTCTTTATGGCTCATTACGTGAATAAAATACTGTGTCAATAATAGGCCTCATTAATCCTTGAATAAACGACATTAGATTACTAACTGTTATATGGGATTTGTACTGATTGAATAGCTGAAACTTATAACACAATGGACTATGGTAATAAACATCAATTCTATATACTACTGTATTCAATTTTAAAATGAACTTTGTCTGCTCATGCAAAGATTGGGATTTCTTCTTGTTCTTGTTTTTGTCTTCTTCTTGTTCTTCTTCTTGTTCTTCTTCTTGTTCTTCTTCTTGTTCTTCTTCTTGTTCTTCTTCTTGTTCTTCTTCTTGTTCTTCTTGTTGTTCTTCTTCTCGTTCTTGTTCTTGTTCTTCTTCTTCTTCTACTTCTTTTTCTTCTTCTTCTTCTTTTTGTTCTTTTTGTTCTTCTTGTTCTTCTTGTTCTTCTTCTTGTTCTTCTTCTTTTTGTTCTTCTTGGTGTTCTTGTTGTTCTTCTTCTTCTTGTTCTTCTTCTTGTTCTTCTTGTTGTTCTTTTTGTTCTTTTTCTTTTTGTTCTTCTTGTTCTTCTTGTTCTTCTTGTTCTTCTTCTTGTTCTTCTTCTTGTTCTTCTTCTTGTTGTTCTTGATATTCTTCTTCTTGTTCTTCTTGTTGTTCTTCTTGTTGTTCTTGTTATTCTTGTTGTTCTTCTTCTTGTTGTTCTTGTTGTTCTTCTTTTTGTTCTTCTTGTTCTTCTTCTTGTTCTTCTTCTTGTTCTTCTTCTTGTTCTTCTTCTTGTTCTTCTTCTTGTTATTCTTCTTGTTGTTTTTCTTGTTGTTCAGGCCCCAGCTATATAACAGTTCCAATGGATTAAATTGACTAATAAAACAAAATATTAAAGGCACACTGCCATACTTGTAGCTACTTGCTCCCTCTATATAGAAAACTTCCCCAATCGGTGCCTGTTGGTCCCCCATGATCCTCTTTTTCTTATGTTAAATGAGAGCTGAGTTAATGAGATAGCCACCTGTCACAGTGACCTCGATGGCTCTCTGTGTGGTCTAATCCCTTCTGGCCCAGTAGTGGTGACGGTCTTTAAAACGTAATCTAATAATCTCTATAAAACCAAATCTTGGAAATATTGTTGAAATCAATAGAGTAAATGGGATAACATCCAGTGACTATACGACTATAATTATTGTTATGATCATCAACATGACCATCATCGAAGTTATCATCATCAAAGACAAAAAAAATCAAATCATGAACATCGTCGGTATCTTCTTTATTTCTCTCTCAGCCCTGTTTATTATCAATAGAATATAACACCGTATAATGATCGTGATGATAAGCACGTCGGGTATATGCAAATATTGTTATCGGTATATTGCGTTGAGAATCAACAACACTGCAACATCCTGCTTCATGGCTCATTACGTGAATAAAATACTGTGTCAATAATAGGCCTCATTAATCCTTGAATAAACGACATTAGATTAATAACTGTTATATGGGGTTTGTACTGATTGAATAGCTGAAATGTGCTGGTATCACGGGACTACCCTGCGGACTTTTAACCGGACATATTTATATCGGACTCCGGTGACAGGTCAAGAGTCCTCTGACCATTAGGGCAGTGTGGTATGGGCGGCCAAAAGGGCCAGAACTAATAAAATAAAATAAACAAACAATGATAGAAATAAACAAAGATTCAGAAATAGACATGGAGATAATGCAAAAATAAAGACAACCTCACAATCTAAGACCACTACACAAATAAATCAACTTTCGAAATAAATATAACACAGGAATAAAGACAACTTCAGAATTAAAGATAACTGCAAAAATAAGGACAACCTCCGAATCATAAAGAAAACTTCGGACATGAAGATGTCTGCAGAAATAAAGACAAACACAGAATTAAAGATAAATGCAGAAATAAAGACAAAACCACAGAATTAAAGATAACTTTAGAAATAAGGACAACAACAGAATTATAAAGAAAGCTTCAGAGATAAAGATATCTGCGGAAATAAAGATAACCACAGAACTAAAGATAACTGCAGAAATAAGGACGACCACAGAATTATAAAGAAAGCTTCAGAGATAAAGATATCTGCAGAAATAAAGATAACCACAGAACTAAAGATAACTGCAGAAATAAGGACGACCACGTACAGAAGTGAAGAGAGCTTCGGAGATCTAAAAGACAACCACGGTACGTGAAGAAAGCTTCGGAGACAAAGACAACCATAGAACGGAAGTTTAGAAAGGTAGATAACGACTGAAATTAAGTCTACTATAGAAACGATATGTCCGCTCCTAAAATTATACTACCAACTACAAATACATGATCAAAAACGCAAACAAACTGACAATAATTAAGAGGACGAGTGAGGGTGTCCTAACGCAAAAATTAACCGAGAACGATATTACCTACTCTACTTCGTTGTGATGGGCAGGATTGTTTGAGGGTGATGAGGAGAGGAAGGGCATAGTCATGTAGATTGGATAGTTAGGGGCTAGTGGTGGGAGGGGGGGGGGTGGGAAGGGGGTGTTAACGGGATATTAAGGAGTGTATACTAACTTCATTTTAAGGGGATTTATTAATTATGGACAGTGAACAAGATTGTCTGAGAGTGAGAAGAGGGAGGGCATAGTCATAATAGTAAGGGTCTAGTGGTGGGGTTTGGGGGGGGGGTTGGGAAGGGGGTGTTAACGGGATATTAAGGAGTGTATATTAACTTCATTTTAAGGGGATTTATTAATTATGAACAGTGGACAAGATTGTCTGAGGGTGAGAAGAGGGAGGACATAGTCATATGTAGATTGGATGGTTAGGGGCTAGTGGTGGGGGGGGGGGGGGCAGAGAATGGGCATTAATTGAAAATAAAGGAGTTTATATTACCTACTTCGTTTTAAGGGGTTTTATTGATTATGAATAGTGGGCAGGATTGTTTGAGGGCGATGAGAAGAGGGACGGAATATTCATGAAGACTGGAATATAAGGAGGCGGGGGGGGGGGGGGGGGGGCCTCCCGATCCCGATCTTGTTGGCGAGAAAATTGCAACTGATACCCCCCTTCTTTTCTTTTCTTCTTCCTCTTTTTTCCTTCCCTTTATCTGCTCTTTTCCTTTTTTTCTTTTCCTTTCCTTCTCTCTCTTATTTTTTTTATGGGGGGGGGGGGGGCGGGGAGGCAACAGCCTGCGATGCAAGACCCTTTCGCCCCCGGTCTCCTTCCCCCTTTTATTTCTTCTTTCTTTCCCTTTCTCCTCTTTTCCCTTCCCCTTCTCTTCCTTCTCTCTCTCTCTCTTTTTTTGAGGGGGGGGGGCAAGGCCTGCTCGACCCCCCCTTGGATCCGCGCCTGAGAGACAGAGAGGGGGGTGGAGCTTTTATGGGATCAGCACAGAGTGCCACAGACCCATGCGAGGAACCATCTCTGTTGAATTCACCATAATACCTTCATTGTTACTACTATTATTGTTTGCTATGTAATGTTTATTGAAAAGTAATAAATATGTTGACTTTTATATCAAACTATTTATTATATTTCGTCTTTTTAATTAGCATCAATAAAGAAGTTTGTAGAAAAGTTGAACCGGTGTGTGAGTGAATGTTGATTAGGTATGTCTTGTTGCTGTCTTAATTGGATAATAACTGATTATGAAGGTGACACATTTATTTTGAACTAAAGAAGGGCATGTTATGTGAAAGAATGTGACTTTCCTTAAATTTAAATTTGTGTGGATAACAACCAATATAGATGGCATATATGCCGGTGAATACATTTTTTAGATGTTATAGACAATAATAGATAATTTCAATTTGTTTCGGCA